CCGCCGCCGCTGCCGCCGCCCGCGCGGAGCCCGCCCCGCCTGACGCGCCCCTGACGCACCGGAGCCCGCGGGGGCGGCGGGACCCGCCCCGGCCCGCAGGACACCCCCTCGGAGCGCGCGGCCCGCCGGCCCAAGTCCTCCTTAACAGCCTAAGAAATTATCTTGTCTCCGCGTTCTTGCCTCTGCTGGCGAGCCAGGTAATTTTAATAAACAGCAAACTCCCCGATCGTAACTTCTGGGCAGCCTGCCGGCTTCGCCTCCCCCCGCGCCCCCCCTCGCCCGCTGGTCCTCCGCCAGCTGGGTGTCCGGCGGAGTCCGAGAAAGTTTGTGTGTGTGTATGGTTTTTTTTTTGTTATTGTTTTTTTTTTAAGGGGGAAAAAAATTGCTAATACCTGACCTGTCTTTCGATTCATAATGACGATCGTTAGTTAAGCGGGCTGGAATTACATTTCACTTCTGTCCACCGCTGTCAGACCAAATGTAAAATCTCCCCAAGTCTGCCATCCAAAAAAAAAAGTTCTCTCATTTAACAGTTCCACGGTTAATCCAGGGTCGGTACCAATTCCCTAAATAGATCCACTACGTAGCCATTAATTAATAGCGTTTTGAACCAGAAACATTTTTAACCTTGAAAAGAAGCAAAGAATCCTCTCATGGTTGAAATTGAAACTTAAAATCCTTTTGAGGAACGATTTAACTATTCAACCAACGAAAGAAAAATGCGTGTTTAAACTGCATTAACCTGTCACAGGCATACGAACAAATTTCCACGCTGAAATATAAATTATAGACTAGTAGTGAGATAAACACATTAAAATGGACTCCCACAATTTTAATAATAGGAAGTCACGTTTCCAATTAGGCAACATCTTTTCTTTTTCTTTGGACAAAAATGAAAAATAAAATGCAGCAAATGATACAGAATTGCTCATCTGGTGTTTTGTGGTTGTGGAGGGTTTTTTTTCTTTTTCATATAATCAGATATATGTGTATATATTTTACATTTCTTCATTGCTTTCATTTTTTTCCTCCTTTGATTTTTAAAAAATTGAAAACACAGAAAAGCAAACAGGATGCTTTCTAAATTATTATTGCACGGATTTTGATGTACACAGCTTTACTGATATATTATTGAATAATGTGCATTTTATTTGTAATCCTTCAGTACTTCTTTTGGAAGTTAAAAATGCATATACATTAAGAATAACATACCTTTGTGTATTGCTTCTTAGAATAATCAAATGTGAAATATTTATATTTGCTTCAGGTTTTTTATTTATATTAAAGATGACAGAGTTCAATGTCCCTTTATTTCTCTCCCCAGTCTCATTCACCTTTCTCCCTCCTTACTTTCCTAGGTAATTAGTATTATCATGTGTGTATTTTTCCAGCATTTGTTATTATACTTTTATTACCTAATTACCTACATATATTTATATGTAAATATGTATATCAATGCTTATGTATATTTTGCATTTTCTTTATAAATGGTACAGTAATGTACACATCATTTTGCAACTTACTTTTTTCCCTCCATATGATTTTGAGAACTATCCATATTGATACCTATAGGATCTATTCGTTTTAGTAGTCCTATAATACTGTCAGCTTTATTATTTTTATGGAGATTCTATTCTAAAACAAATAATTATTGTAAAGTTCCTTGCCTCAAAGTTTTAGACAATTAACTCTCAATCTGCACATATTAAAATTCTATGAGATAGAATTCTTTACTAGCAGATTTTCTTTCATTATTTAGGAAAAAAAAGTACAGGTATTTTAAAACGCATAGAATATGAAAAGCACCCACTTGCCCATCTCATATAATTGGTAAATGTTAACATTTCGCCATATCTGTTTCAGGTCTATATTTTTTTTAAATTAAAGTCTTCAACATTGCTGATAAAATTAAAATCTGTTTGTACTCCTCTCCAAAACCATTCCACCCTTTTCTCCAAAGGCGAACACTATCATGAATTTGGTATACAACTCTACAATCTAGGCTTTATACTTTTACTGCACATGAACCCATAAAGATACATAATATTGCTTTGATGTTTAAAAAATGTACACATGTGGTGTTAGACTGTTCCTATTCTGTGACTTGTTCCTTTTTTTCCTTCATGGTATGTTCTGATTCTTTCTCTCCATGTTGATAGATATAAATCCGGTGAATTCATTTTAATTGCTATATTGTAGACCCATGCATGTAAACATACCGTGTTTATTCACTCCCCTATTGAATATTTAAGCTGCTACCTGTGTTTTGGTATTATGGGCAATGCTGGTATGAACATATGTTTACATGTGTCCCTTGCACATATGTGAGGATTTCTCTGTGTATCTACCTAGGTGGGAAATTGCAAGCCTACACACACATTTGCAGTTTTATTAGCGCCTGCCAAATGGTTTTCCCATCAGCACTGTATGAGAGTTCTTTCCCTCACATGACCCTCCATACTTTCTAGATTCAGGCTTTTCTTATTTCTGACGATTTGATTTAAAAAAAAAACCACCCAAAACCCCAGCATTTTCATTGTTTTATTTGAATTTCCCTCACTGCTAGTGAGGTTGAGCATTTTATTGGCTATTAAGGTTTCTGAGTCTGTGATTTGTTTTCTCACAGTCATCCATTTTTCCAATGGGCTGTAAATACTTTCATCTTTTTTCCTCTTGATTTGTAGGAGTTCATGCATATAAACATTACATTGTCTCAGTCTGTGGCTCTTATAACTGCTTTTGATGGCTTCTGTACTATAGAAAATGTTAAACCCTAGTCATATTCGCTGATCTCTTTCTTTATAGTTTGTGTCATTTGTGTGTTTTATTCGAGAACTCTTTATACCTAATGCCATGAAGATAGCCTCCTATTTTTTTTACCCCCTTAATGCTGTAAAGTTTTGCTTTCTACACTTGGAAAATTGATCCATTTGGGACTTATTTTTTTTGAATGGTGTAAAGTAGGAATTTAATTTTACTCTCCCTTCCCCCATGTGGAAAACCTGTTGTTCTGACTTGATTTACTACTTAACAGTCTTTCACTTCCCCATTAATATGTAATGCCACCATGATTGCAAATTAAATTTCCATATATTCATGGGTATGTTCCTACTTTGTCCTCTTCCACTGATCAAACCAATTCTGAGCCAATACCACACTGTTTCAGTTATTATGGCTTTATAATAAGTGTTCATCTCTAGAAGGGCATTTCCCCCTCTGTTCCTTTTAAAAATTGTACTGGCCGTTTTGGGACTTCTACTCTTCCATACTAACTGTAACATCAGTTTGTCAACTTGCATTGAAAAATCTTTTTGGTATTGTGCTGAGTTAAATTTATAGATTAAATTTTGGGAGATATGACATCTTTATAAAATGGAGTCATTTAATACATTGATATTATATTCTAATTTCTTCATCTCCTTCAATAACATTTTATGATTTATTTATAAGACCCTTGTACCTCTTTGTTAGATTTATTCCTAGGTACTTTACAGCCTTTGTTGCTGTTATAAGTTGGATTCTTTTTAAAGTTTTTAATTGGTTATTGCTGCTGTTTGGAAATTTACTGATTTTGGAATAATCTTGTTTTAGCAAACATGCTGAACTTTATTAGTAGTTTATTTGCATTTTAAGCAGCAAATTCTCTTGTATTTTCATGTAGATAATCATATTATCTGTAAATAACACTCGATACTTTTCTCCTTTCTTATCTCAATGGATGGCCTGGGACCTCCAATATAATATCAAATACTAAGGGTGAGAGCTAGTATTGTTTTCCTATTTCGAGAATGTTTCTAATTTGTTATCATTATTTGTGATATTTGTTGTAGGTTTTTGGTAGCATCCCATTACCAGGTCAAGGAGTTCCCTTCTATCCCAGTTGAGTTTAAAGGAGGAATATTTTAAAACTATGAAATGAATATTGAATTTTGTTAAGTGCCTTTTCTAAAACTATTGAGATGATTATAGGTTTTGTCTCTGATATGTTCATGTAGCAGGTCACTTGGATAGATTTTTCTAATGTGGACGTATCTCTGCATTCTTTGAGATAAACCTTGTTTTGCCATATTTTTTTTAATACACTGCTTCATGCAATTTGTGAATGCTTTCTAATTTTAGCATCTATGTTCATAAATGATATTGGCTGGTAATTCTTTTTTTTCTCGCACTGCTTTTGTCTCTGTTTGGCATCAGGGTAATTGCTGCTGTTCTGTGCCATTGAGTCGACGCTAACTCTGGGCAACACTATGAATGAGTGACGTCCACCATGTTCCATCCTCACAGCGCTGCTCAGCTCCTGTAGACTCATGCCTATGGCTTCTTTTAGGGAGTCAATGCATCTCATGTTTGGTCTTCCTCTTTTCCTGCTGCCTTCTGTTTTTTTCCCATCATTTCCCAAAGAACTCTGCCTTCTTTTGAGGTGCCCAAAGTGGGACAGCTTCAGTTTTGTCATTTTTTGTCTCCAGCGATGTTTCAGGTTGTGGACCCACTTGTTCATCTTTCTGGCGGTCCAGGGTCCCCATAGAGCTCTCCTCCACACCGTATTTCAAGTGAACCAATTTTTTTCCTATCAGCCTTCTTCACGGTTCAACGTTTGCATCTGTACATGGAAATTGGGACGATGAAGGTGTGGATGAGCTTAGCCTTGGTCTCTAATGATACTTCTTTGTTCTTGTTGATCTTTCCTAATTCTTCCATCGCTGCCCTTCCGAGTCTCAGCCTTTTCTTGATTTTTTGGCTGCCGTCTCCATTAGAATTGATGACTGAACCAGAGTAAGCAAAATCTTTAACAATTTCGATGTCTTCATCATCTATGTTAAACTTGGGTATTTCTTCTGGAGTCATGATTATGGTCTCCTTGATGTTCACATGCAGTCCTGCTTTGGCACTTTCTTCTTTCACTTTCCTCAGAAGTTGTTTCAAATCATTGCTCCTTTCTGCCAGTAAGATGGTGTCATCTGCATTATCTTAAGTTATTGATATTTCTTCCACCACTTTTCACTCCTCCTTCCACTGAGTCCAGCCCAGTTTTGTGTATGATATGCTACCCTCATAAAATGCATTTGGAAATTTCCCTTTTTCTATTTTCTGTAACAGTTTATATGAGATAGGTATTATTTGTTCCTTAACATTGGTAAATCTCATCTGTGAAATCATCGTATTTTGGAAATTCCATTCAGTTTCTCTCATTGTTATTAGTTTATTTGGGTTTTGTATTTCTCCTTGAGTTAATTTTGGTAATTTACATTTTTCTTTATAAATTAAATATTACATGTAAACCTTTAAAATGTTGGCATATGGTTCATAGCATTCTCTTATTATTTAAAAATTCTCTACAGTATCTACAGTTATAGCCTACTTTTAATTCCTGATATTACATATTTATGAATTGTCTATTTTGTCTTATATTTTCAGACAAGCCTATAGAAGTTTGTCTATAATCTTTTCAACTAGCGACATTTTGGAGATCATAGCTGTTTCTTTTTCAATCTATATTTGTTCAATTTCTGTATTTATTTTTATTATATCTCTCACTTTTATTGAATTTAACATGTACTCATTTTTTAAAAAAAGCTTCTCAAATTAAATACTTAACACATTGATTTTCATTCTTTTTTATTTTCTAATATACTTCAGGGCCATAAATTCTCCTTGAAGAGAAGTTTCCCTTGTTTATTTGTAACCATTTTCAAAGTAGTGCTTTTGTTGTCATTCAGTTCTAACTATAGTAATACCTTGGCTTGCAAGCATAATTCATTCCAGAAACAAACTACTCATATTGCAAGACATCGCTAGTTTACCACGTTAAGATGTATTAGAAATGTTTGCTTGTCTTGCGGAACACTCGCAAACCAAGTTACTCACAATCCAAGGTTTTACTGTACTTCATAATTCCACTGGGATTGCTTAAACACTAGATTTTCATAAGGGTGCTTTCCCTATCAACAGTGCAGAAAAGGTAATATTTACTTTTGTGTAGATGACCACCTAAGGGAAGCCCTTTCTGAAATAAAGGTGGTGCCTGTATTCCAGGTGAGTGGTCCCAAGAAACACAAGCAATTTTTAACCAACATTATTTGGATCTGGAAACCTGATTTTGCCCGTGAGCGTTCTGCCATAGCATTGGCATAAGGTTCTAGATATTTCATTCATTCGACCAATTCACACTGATGACTTTCTATATACGAAGCATTCTGGTAGGCACCGGGAATTACATGAGTGAACAAAAAAAATAACTTTCTGCTCTTGTGGAGTTTATCTTGTGGTGTGGGAATTTGCTTATGTTTTTTTCTTAATGTGTGGATGTGGTGCTGATATTGCAAATTGTCTAGCTGATCCTGTTGAATTTTGGAAAAGCACTGCAAATGGGGGGCTTGAGGTAGGAGGGTGTCAAAGGAGCTCTTCCTGTTCCAGTGGAGGATACCCAGTCTCTAGCTGCTGAGATGGATCTCCTGAGATATTTCTCTGGCTGAGAAGCAGAACTGGAGGAAATTACAGAGGAGATGCCCTGTACACAGGTAGTGTCTCTGGAAAGGGAGGCGAGTTTTCTTCTTTATATGTTGTTTCTTTGGATCAAGGGATTCGCTGGATGATGGACAGGGTGTTCGTTGAAGTTGATAAGACTTTAGGGTGTCTATGCAGCTGGTATTCTATCACTTGAGCTATTCTGGAATCAGTGCACACGTGTAATCTCTCAGGAATGGGCTCTGGAAATGCAATGGGGATTATTTGAAGTCGAAAGCAGAATAAGGGTAATTTCTCGGTGTAATGTATACTGTGGCCTTGAAGTAAATGTTCCAGAAATAATATCCCTCCTAAGCCCTTTCAGAAGCCTCCAGGAGCACCAGCAAGGAGCTGTACCTGAAGGCCTTGAGAGGCTGACCTGTCCATCCCTTTCATCGCAAGTGGTTCAACGGAGGCACATAGCAGGCCTTCTGTAAATATATATAGAATACATGAATAGGAATATATAAACTGACAGGTTAGTATCGCCATTCATGATCACCCATCTGAAATAGACAGTCAGCAGTCCCAGAAATACTGCAAACCTTTTTGCCTCTGTGCCAGTCTCCCTCCCACCTTTCGGCAAAGGTCAGTGCATTCTCACGAGTTCTAGCCCCATTACTTCTCACTTTCTCCGGGTACTCGATCCATAACATGTCTCCTCTGCTGCCATCATCTCCTTTCTTTCCTTCTCTTTGAAATAATTTGAATCAACCGTCAATAGTGGACTAATAGCTCCAATTAAAAAATCTCTCTCTCCCTCCCTCTATCCCTATCCCTATCCCTATCCCTATCCCTATCATCTCTACATTCTCCTCTAGTTCCTGCCACACAGCCATGTCACCCTTCAAAGCCAAAGGTCTCAAGAGCTGAATATGTTCTGCCTTTTCTGGCACCACTTCGTTACCCCCGTGTACTATTAAAAATTGCTCCGATATTTAGTCCTCACTTTGTTACAGAAATTCTTAAGATCAACATTGACGCACGACGCTGTGAATGTACTTAATGCCTCTGAACTGTACACCTCAAAATGGTTAAAATGGTAAGTTATATATTATGTATATTTTACCACAATTAAAAAAAATCTTTCTCAAAAAGGAAAAAAACAGATCACCATTGATCTTCATGTTGCTACACCCAACCCTCAGAATACATGCCCTGTCAGAGCAATTGAGTAATCTTTGAATCATTCTCTTTTTTGGTTTCTGTGACGCTACATTTTTGGGGGGCTTTACTCTGTCTTTCTAACTGTTCCTGCTCAGTCTTAGTTGCCCATTTCTCCTTCTTTATCTGACCTTTAAAATGTAAAGTTCTACAGAATTCCATACAATGCCGTCTTCTCTCAGTTCCAGGTAATTTTTAACATTTTCCATGGCTTAGGTACACCTGTATGCCAACAGCTTAAGAAATTCACCTTATCTATTTTTCAGAGATGCCAGGTAGTAGTATATCCATCCAACTACTTGATAACTCCCCACCCTTCCTGCAATGTCTCATAGAGATCTCAAACTTAATATATTCAAAAGCTGGATTCTTGGTTGTTACCCCCAAATCTACTCTTCCTGCTTTCTCCTCTGTCTCAATAAATAACACTTTTAACTCTCCTGTTCCTCATGCCAGGAAACTGGGTGTCACTGTTGACAACACCCCCGCCCCCCCATCAGCCCCCACATTTAATTCATCTTCATGTTTCGTTCATTTGACCTTCAAACTTTATCTCACTTTTCTCATTTTCCCTGGGAATACCCTACTCCCAACCATCGTCATCTATTGGTCAAACTACTCTAATAATGTAATATCTTCATTAGTTCTGGGGTTTGGGATGTGGCCATCATGGGGGAGCCATTATTCAGCCAACACGAGGCGAAAGCAGAGTGCATGAAGGGAAAGAGGTAGGAGCCTGGTAGGAGATGGACGGGTACAGGGATCTGGGTGGTGGGAGGCAGGTCACGTAGGGCCTTGCAAACCAATGTGAAGAGTGAAATGGGAAGTCTCAGGGAGGACTCTGAGCAGTGACGTGATCTGAATTACTTTTGAGAGGTTCATCCGGGTTGCTGGGTGGCAAATAGAGTGCGGGCTAGAGTGGAAGCAGGACACCAGCGAGCTAGCCACTGCAGAAACCCAAGCACAAGATGATGGCGCTCTAGACCATTGCTGCAGCAATGAGGGCCGTGAGGTGTGGTCCGAGTCTGGGTGTCATTTGCAGTTGCAGGAGGGATATCTGCCTGCTGATGTGTTGCCCGTGGGGGTAGAGGGTGGGGAGAGTAGGTGGGGACTCACAAATGCTTCCGAGCATTTCAGCCCAGCAACTTTTGAGATAAGAAATGCTTTAGAAGAAACACGGTATAGGAGGAAGAAAGTGGGAGTTTGGTTTTGGGGACTTTAAGGTAGGGGACTTTTAGACATCTAAGTGGAGATGCGGAATAGGCCGTTGAATCTATGAGTCTGAAGCTTTTACAACTTGAAGTTTGGCCTACATCCCTGACTGAGCAACAAGATAACAGGATTAAAAAGAAAAACAAAACGGGGGTGGGGGTGGGGTGGGGGGGGGAGGGACCGGCCGAGTGGCGGGATGGTTAAGAACTGGCTTGGGACGCCAGAGGGCCCCGGTTCGGATCCCACATATGAGGGCCAGTGACACTGCCCTCCACAGCTAAGATGCTGAACAACAGCTCAACCTGGAGCTGGGCTGCCGGTGATGGCGTAGGCTGCAGCCCCTGTGGCAGTGGGTTGCCATGGGCTACCGTGTGTAGCCAGCAGCCAGCATGAGCGGCCGTCCAGAAGCCGGCGACTGATCTGCCTCGCCCGGGAAGAGCGCAATGATGGTGCCAACTTGGGCCAGTGAAGCAACGTCCTCCACAACTAGAATGAAGAAAAAGGCGACAGCAGCTTGTCTGTTCCCATCCCCCCAATTTCCCAATAAAAATCTTTAAAAAAAAAAAAGGTATGTATATTTATATGTGTTCCTGGAGGACAGGAATTCTAACTTGGTAGAATTTCTCGAAATGCCATATATAAT